AAAAGTCAAGATAAGTTTTAATTTAGTAGTGATGTAACCGTTTGAGCAAAAAATGCAGAAAGAGAATCACTCCTCCTAAATCCTTGTCGTGAATATAAAATTTTTCGTTATTTAAATTTTACGAGTGACATCATTAGTGAGGTATCTATATGAATTTGGTTCTATTATCTAAGATCAACAACATCTTAGGAGAGACTAAATTATTTATAAAAGAAACTATTAACAACTGATATTATGCCAAAATTCTATACTTTTAGTACATTACTCGCCCTATATTTTGTTGGTTTAAGTGAGTTATTGTGCGACAATTGCGCTAAATTATGTTGTTCTATGTGTAGGAACATCGGAATGAATCATCGATGTTATGATAATTTTTTTTCCTTCTGAAAGGCCCCAAATTAAAAATTGACTTTAGGCCACCAATCTTCTTGGGCCGCCCCTGATTAAAGCTTTACCTAATGGAGTTTTACAAATGAAAAACTTTAGTTTATTATGTTATTCAAACTTAATCTGCTCTGGTTAACTTCTTAACATGGAAAAATAAATTTTATTTAACCAAAAAAGAAAAGAAAATTTAAGGTGTCTTTTTTTTGTTGCCACTCAAGTGTGCGGTATCTGCCTTAAAATACAAAATTAAGGTAAAATGTGTTGTATATGAAGAAGAATTAAAAAGAAATACACAATTAGAACAAATAAAACATTTTATATAACTATGTAGCCATCAAATGGTTAGAAAACATCCTACTTGAAAATTAAATTTTTCATATTTTTCTTCATTTTCACGCACCTAAAAGAATATATTCACGTTTTTTGTCTCGTCAACGATTTATTAGAGGGTCAACGCTATCAAACCGTGAAGTTCAGAGGTAATAGAACCAAAACTAATCCAGGTGTGCACAGAATAAATATTGGCAAATTTAGAGATCCGAGGTATTATACCACATAAATAAAGATAGTGGCAAGTGATTTGCGTTTTATTAATTCTTGGATCTGTTTAGTCATCCATGACTAATGCAAGTAAAGAAATCAAATTGAAAAAGCATTTCCCAAGAAATAAACCACCCTTTATATAAGCTTTGTAATTATAATATGCCCATCAACTAAAGGGTGGTTTATTTAATTAGCTAAAACATGTCCTAATACTCAAAAAAATAAAAACCCCGAAAAAGAAAAAAGAGAAGAGACAACTAGTGTAGCAACATTTCCAGAATCTTTGAACTATATAAGAACATGTTGCCATGTCCAAATCTGCAACTTTAAGATTTCCAAGCTTTTTCTTATAGCCCTTGATATTGCACTTTTTCTTATAGCCATTCTTATAGCCGAATTGGGCCACGCGTTTGCTCTATGCGATCGCGTATAGTTGGAACCTTGTGCATCGCGATCGCGTGGCATTGTTTGCGATCGCGTAGGGTTATTTTTTAGGCAGTAAAAATTTGTGTTGCGCGATCGCGTGAGGATGTTCGTGATCGCGTAGAAGAAATCACTGGGCAGAGAGTTTAAGTTCTGAAAATGAGATTTCGTCCGATTTTCTATTTTTATCGATTTGGAGCTCGGATTAAGGCGATTTTTGGGAAATATTTAGAGAAAATAACAGGGTAAGTGTTCTTAACTCAATATTGGTTAAATTACCCGAATCCAACACTGTTTTTATCATTTAATTGGTGAATTCAGTTGGAAAAGTTTGAAAATCCTCTTGGATAGATTTGAAAATTTGAGGGCCGAATTGTTATCGGAATTTAGTAATTTTGGTATGGGTAGACTCGTGGTTGAGTGAGCGTTCATATTTCGTAACTTTTGCCGGATTTCGAGATGTGGGCCCCACAAACAATTTTTAATTTAATTTTGGATTTTATTTAAAAATATAGTATTTTCTTATGACATTGATTCCTATAATATTTAGTGATTGTATCAAATTTACTTTGGCTAGATTTGAGCCATTCAGAGTTGGATAATTGAGGAAAGGGCCTACTATTGGATTAAATTGGAGCAAATTGAAGTAAGTCTCTTGTCTAATCTTGTGAGGGGGAAATTACCTCATAGGTGATTAAATTAATAAATGTTTCTAATTGTGGGGGCTACGTACGCACGAGGTGACGAGAGTCCGTGCGTAGCTACGGGTAGTTTAGGACTCAAAGCATGAATTACTTGTGCAAGTTGTATTCCTTACTTAATTAAAATTTTATATATAAATTATGAATTATTTAGGTAAAAATATTAAAAGATTTAAATCTCATATGCTTAACTTTATGTTTAAATTAATTAATTGTTAAAAGAAATTGTTCATTACTCTCGAATTGATCTTATAATAAATATACTCTCCTTCCGGAGGTACATAAGAAAATGTCCTCCTTTCTTGTGAAGCGGGCCGAACGCCTCGGCAGGATAAATGCATCTATGGATCGCGCCGCACGTCCCTCGGCAGTGTACACGACACTCTGGATCAGGCCGTACGACCTCGGCAGAAATCGTGCCTAATAATGATAATAATTACACGATACCTTACTATTTTAATTGCAGCTTGTGGATTTAATTAACGGATTGAAAATTATTGCAATTGAAAGATTTTTATTATTTCTGCTAATTGAATAAAATTATTGTTAACTCTGTGAATTATGCTGATTTAAATAATTCTATTTTATTTCAATTATTATTATTGACCCTTAGTTAGTGTCAAAGTTGGTCATCTCGTCTCTATCACTTCGAGATTAGGCTTGATACTTTCTGGGTACACGTTGTTTACGTACTCATGCTACACTTGCTACACTTTTTGTGCAGGATCTGAGACAGGCACTAGTGGAGGATCAATCATCGCACATCCACGTTATCCAGAGGCGTAGTGGTAAGCTGCCTTTCTGAGCCATTCTGTAGCTATCGGTGCTTCTTCTTGTATTTGTATTATGTCTATTTTATTTCAGACAGTGTTTGAGATTGTTTTTGTATAATCCACTAGATGCTCATACACTTGTGACACCAGGTCTTGGCACACACACTAATAGAATTTTTGGACTTGATTATTTTTAATTTACTAGAATCTTTTCATATTATTTTAAATTCCTGAAATTAAGAAGAGTTTAATTACTCGGTTAATTTTAAAAGAATTGAATATAGGTTTAAATTATTAGTTGGCTTGCCTAGTTGTAGTGTAGGGCACCATCACGACCTATAGGTGAAATTGGGTCGTGACACCCAAAATACTCACGATCGGTAGAGAATACTTAGGCGAAATTATAGAAGACATAGTGGGAAGGATTCCGACAATTGAAAAAATTATAACTCTAGACCTTCTTAATCTATTCTCCAACCCGTAGTGTCTTTAGTTGTTAATCTACTACTTTAATTTGTTAGTTAATTAGATATAAGAATCTTAATATTTATAACTTAGGACTTGTTCGAGCTTGTCTTCATAGTGATAGTGAACAGTTGTAACTAAACCTTAGTTCTCTGTGAAATTCTACTTCGGACTCTTATACCGGATTATATTTGCAGCGATCGCATATTCTTATTATAACTAGAGTTGGGCGTGATCAATTTACCTATAATTATCTTATAAATGATTGATTATGCAACTTTTTATATCGTGTTACGGCATAGAACTTAAACTCAGAAAAATTACTTTTATAACTCGAGATGAATGATCTCTAGCCGAGCATCTAGGAAAAAACATATTCATCAACATGGCACTCCAAACAGAGAAAAATGACTAAACAAAAGGAAGAAATAGCAGAAGTTCAGCTCACTGCCTCGTTAAAAATATGATGAAAACGTTTGTGGGGTGCCAAGGGAAATTGGTCAAGGGCTCAAGGCCTCGATAACCTGGCTAAATAAATAAAGATTGTTTGTCAATGTGACAAATCAATCTTTTTATTCTCAAGAATCTCCCTTTTGAAGTCACAGTTGAAGGGTCAGGAGGAAAAGAAAAAGTAGCAGCAAACCTCCCGCTAAGGGTGACAAGTGAGCCGGTCCAGGTCCGGAACCGCGGGTCAAACAGGCTAAACAGGCCAGGACCGTTTGGCCCGNTATATATATATCTTATATCGATATACAATATATACATCTTATATACTATATATATTCGATATTAAATATTGAATATTAAAATTTAGGACACAATTCTATAATAAAATTTACAAACATTGTGTTAGATATTTTTTTTAACATCCTTTTGTCTCTAATATCTATTTAATTTTTTTTAAAAAAATATGTTGGGCCCGGTCCCGGTCCAGGGCCGGTCCCTACAAAAAGCCCGTTTAATTTGGGTCCGGTCGGGGACCGGGCCCGAGACCGTTTTGACCGGCCCACTTGGCCAGTTTAGGCCCGGGACCGGCCCACTTGCCAGCCCTACCTCCCGCTATGCATGGGGTCCGAAAAAGGGCCGGATCACAAAGGTTTATTGTTTGCAGTCCTACCCTGTATTTCTGCAATAGCCTGTTTTCACGGATCGAACCCGTAACCTCCTGATCACATAACATCTTTATCGGTTATGCCAAGACTCTCCTTCAAAAGACTAATAAATAAATAAATAAATATAGGGAAAATGACATTGTATAACCGCTCTTAAAATAATAGCCGAATAAATATATATGTTTTGTATGTATATGCATTAATGTATGTTAAATATATAAAAAAAAATATACAAATTTTATACACTTTTGCGGCTACCGGATGTAAATAGTTTCGGCCGCGAACTAAAAATGAACTTTGCCCATAAATATAGCACATAGCTTTGGCATTCTTTGAATTCTTGCATTTGTTTAGTCATCCATGACTAATGCAAATAAAGAAATCAAATTGAAAAAGCATTTCGGAAGAAATAAATTATCCTTTTTTTTTTATTCCCCTCACCTTTGATTTCCCTTTGTTGCAGCAGCTATTGCTCCTTTAGTGACTCGAACCCACGACCCGGGGTTGTAGGTGGGGGTGCTGACCATCTGAACAACCCCTCTTGTCAAATTATTCCTAATATACGCTTTGTAGTTATAATAATAATATGGCCATCATCAATTAGAATGGTGCTCTATGATAACCAACCTTTTAATTCAAAAAGATGTCCTAATATTCAAGAAAATAAAAACCCCAAAAAAAAAAAGATAAAATACAACAAACTAAAAACTGACAGCATTCATTAAAGACAAGCCACTAGTAGGACGTCGGAACGCCAACCACTACATAAGCCACTAGTAGCAGAGACAAAGCGAGCGACGTCCTGTATAGGTTGGATGGAGCTTGAAGAAGCAAGCCCCTATAATCTTTGAACTATATATGAATATGTTACCATGTCCAAATTGCAACTTTGAGATTTTTTCAAGCTTTCTTTAAAGCCATTGATCTAGCACGTAGATTTAAAAATATTCCCCTACAAGTTGAATACAAGAAAGGATCAACTATTTTGTGAAAAAATTGAGGTGAAAATGAAATTGACCATATCATAAACAGTAGCGACGAGTAGGTAAATGTAGCATACCAGCCACACGCGATGATGCTGTGAAAGATTACACGGAATTGCAGTGGCACATACTGGTGATTAATCCAACCCACGACTGGCCAAAACTGCGTAGTTTTGAACGATTGATAGAGTTATAGTTCACTATACAATAGAATTAAAAAAATTGAATCTGAAAGAGGGGGAATTTGACAAACCGTCCAAGCTGTATACTGCACTTTTGGATATTCCCTCTTAATATTAGACTTCACCTGGATCCAGGGTCTACCTGTACGTATTATAAGATTCTATCAACTCAAAGCTTTGTTATGTGCATATATATTGCTATACTTCTAGCTAATGAAAATACTCAATATAAAAAGACTCGAGCAAAATACTTCTTTTGAACAAGAATTTAATTTCAGGGTATTTCCTAGAAGTTAAAATAGGAAATCTAGAAAATATAGATGAACAACTTTGGAACAAGAAAAATAGTTTCAGGCTTCTTTCACATGAGAGAACTTTGTCCTTTGATCAAAGCTTGTACACTGTAAAGAATTTATTCGGTGAGAAAGAGTTTGGACATGTAAAATAGCATAAAAGCAACAAAGATCAAAAAGTGTCTTCGCATGTATATACATACTTCCCCAATAACTGAATGATTATTTTTTAAAAGATACGTTACCGAAACTTTATTTAACTGGGATTCCGCTAAAGCTTTGAGCTTTTGTTTCCTGCTTTTATATTATGAATGTACAATCTCTTGCAGTCCTTTTTCTTTTTGCAGATTTTGTAAAGGTGTAGTGCTTCAGAGTGCATTTGACGTTCACAAATTTTGTAGATTACAGCAACAATAACAACAAACTCAATGCAATCCCACAAGTGGGATCTGAGAATGACAGTGTGTACACAGACCTTACCCCTACCCTAAGAAGGTAGAGAGGAGATTTCCAGTAGACCCCCAGCTCAGGAAAGATAATGAGGAATGAGCACAACACCAGCAACAACACCAGCAAACCAATCGGAAAACCGAAGCGAAAGAAACAACAAGTAATAACAAAAATCTAATAATAAGAAAATACAAGATTAACACTAAGTAATGCACTAAAGTCTAAAACTACTGGAACGAGCAAGGACAACGGTGGGATACCTAGCCTTCTACCTTAGTTCCCAACCTCCACACCTTCCTATCCAAAAATGATTCATGCATTCTAAGTCAACAGTTAAGGTTCCAATTCTCAGAACTTCAATATATCTACTCGCACATTTACTTGCAGAAGCATCATGGAATCCTTGAAATAGTTAGTGTTGCAAAAATGAAATATAGTTGTAGCTCAGAATAAAACTCACTTTCAATAACTAACCCATAGTAAATCATGAAAAGCAAGTTATTCCAAGGCGAAGATGTCACTTGTTCCAGCACCACCTGAAACAATTAAATTGCAAGTTTCATATTCTTGTGTATTAATCTGGTCATTACTCTTTTAGAGTTTTCCCCAACTGAAAATACTGTTTGACCAAAATGGTAATCTAGCTAAAGAGTTTCATTACGATTGATTAATGTTGAAAATAATCTATTACAACGAAAAGAGAAAAAAAAAAGGACTGACGGGTAATCGTGACACTAAAGGATGTGGATTCAATAGGAATCTGGAACTTCTTTTCCCGACACTTATTGTAAATTGTCCAAAAAAGAAGGGTTTCGATTACCTTTTTTGCAACTGTTGTTGTGTCTTTCTTCCCCTTGAAAAGTTTGTCCAGTAATAAGTGAAGAAAATGCCCAAATGGCCCGAGATAGGCAAAGCCAAAAAGCTGCACGCAGTTATGTTAGCAGCCAATGACAGTCCCAGATAGCAACTTATATATGGTAAGCAAAGGAAAAGATATAAAGGATACATCAGAAATGAACCTTGAGATGGAAGTAAACTTGACATAGCACTACAACTGGACTATGCCTCAGAGCTGAATAAGTCCTAATATATGCTTACTTGCTATTTGTTTGTTCTGTTTCCATTTTCTCCAAACAAAAAAAGACAGAACTTCACAGCAGCTAAAAGATATCAAAGTGTTTTCAAGCACCACTTTCATATCATTGTAAGTTTTCTCAAACTTTTACTTATCCTACTGATTTCTTCAATACAGTGATAAGTCATTAAGTTCCCGAAGCTAGTTATAAGATCCAAACTTCTTTCAACGTCTTGATAAATTTGGTTGTCAATTTTAGGCAGAAATAATCTCTCTTCTAAGCAAGGGTAAGCCTATAGAACAGACCTCGCTAGACTCCATGCAGAAGCCTTGCACACCAGATCAAGCATATGAATAGGGTGATTCACTCTGGGAAAAGAAGAGGGAAAAGATTCCCAACAAAGACAGGAGCTGTTACATCCTTTGCAGCTCATACTCAAACCAACGTAACCAAAATTGATTTGCAAAAGTTTTGAAATTCTAACTTAAGAAAAAAAAAATGTTAACATCAATTTACTCAAATATAAGGGAAGATCAGAACTCTCTAGAACCAAAATGATTCATCAGACTATCAACATTAAGCTGACTGGTGACGAGGATCACATAGTTTGAGAGCTGGATCGAGGTTTAAAGCATGGTTATGGCGGAATGTGCCCTATCCCTCGAAGGAGAGGAACTTTAAATGTAAGGAGCTTACTTCCTCTTTTCTAGGTTTTTTTTCCGAGTGTTAAAACGATAGATTTTTCTTTAGCCAATGAATTGGATCCATCCCAATTCGATCAATAATGGGATTCTTGGCTAGAGAAAGGTTATGTGACATGAACGCCCAACACTTTAGAAAAATCGTTGTATTTACTATGACTTTGCTTTATTATTACTTTATTTTCTTGATTTTAATCTATTACTTTTCAAATTGGATTTCAAGTTAGTAATTTCTATTTTATCCTTTCTTCGTTTAGGAAATCATCAAGCTTTTACATCCATTTTTTTCTGAAATATAATAGAAGTTCTCTTTAGTGAATTAATTTAAGAACGGTCATATAGAAAATTTGACTAAATTATGTGATAACATTGATGACAACAACAAACAACAAACCCAATGAACATAGATGACAGTCCTATTAGTATAGATTGAGTTGTTGTCTTTTGTAGAGAATCATATGATGCAGGTTTTTTACATTCCGGTATACTACTTGTAGTCTTGTAGACAGGGTTTCCCCCCACAACATCAATAAAATTGAACTTCATCAAATTGAAACAGGACGAGAGTACTGTGGGTTACTATAGCATTTATAAGCATAAAGTCGGACAGTATGTTAAGAAGGTATTGTCTGCTTCGTCAGTCTTTACTTCATGATGTTTTCACAAAAGTGTACAAAGAGGCTAAAAGTGATCTATAGTTGACGATACAGTATGAGTGACTAGGATAGTGCGCTACAGAATCAGGTTAATCTTAATCAAAAAAAGCAGAATACCAAGAACTCATGAATAAGATCAGGGCAGAGTTGGAAAAGTATTCTACTGGTAGCCTTTTACCTTGCTTCGAGCAAGATGCAGAATATAAAATTAATAAAGTTGAACACATTTGACAAAATCATTAGCACTTCAGATTTCCACAGCACACACAAAAAGAAAAGGGAAAAAGAGAAGCAAACGGGTGTATTTAAAAGGAAACCATGAAAACAGTACCACTTTCAGAAGAAGACGTCTGACTTGAAGTCTCTTAATGCCAGTGATCTTTTGAGCCACTATATCACTGATCGCTGACAAAACAGCCGCTGTTATTGCCTGCAATTATAAATTGCAAACACTAGAAACCTATAACAACAAAATCGCAGTACCAATTGAACTAAAAAAAAAACTTAAAAATAACCCACACCATTCCACTTGATAACCTACATCTTAATCCCAAACTAGTTAAAGTCAACTACAAGAATCTTTTATATTCATTCTATTCAATTCAGGTCCATTCATACACCACACACACAGGCAACGATTTGATGAACCTCTTACTTGCTACACCCAGATTCCAATATAATGCATTTGAATTCATCATAATTATACTATTTCTTTTATCGTAATGGTGGTGTTCGGCCAACTTAAGTGCACCTTAACTAATCAACTCCATATTTGCTACCTCCCACCGGTGCAAATAGCAAGTAACTCTATCTATCAAAATTTAGACAAATAGAAATAAATCACCGAACTTTTTGCCATTGTAATTTACCGTGATCCATTCTTACTTCATTAACGACTAGTCCACACCATTGGGTGCCATGATGCCATTGCATTAAGAATTTAAGTTATATACACTAACAGTGTCATAACTTTTTTTACATTATCAGTATAATTTTAACATGTTATAAGAAGTTACTTACCATTTACGTATTAAAGTTTAACAATCAATGATCAAATAGAGTTACCTGCAACCAACCTTTAACTGACCTGATTGTGTAAATACTTAAACTTTACATTAAAATTATTTTTAAGTTAGTCTCTATTTTAAAACCCATATTCACTAATATAAAAATTAAAACAAATAAAACAAAAAATATAAAGAAACTAGGAGAGAGGGGAAAAGCTGAGATCTTTGTTCTTAAATGGAAACTTTTCGAGATATAAAAAAACACCCAGATCAAGAATTGAACTAACAGCTCGAAATAACCCAAACCCACTTAACAAATTAGAGAAAATGAAGCAAAGAAAGAGAGATTAGTCAAAGAATTGTTAGAAAGCGAGAAAAAGGTGAGACCTTTGTTCTTAAAGGGTGTTGCTGAAGTTGTAACAAGTATTTTTGCAACCCAATTTTGGCAATTGACCCCATTCTTTTTGCTCTTCTTCAGTTCATCAACTGTAACAAGAAGAAAGTTTTGATCTTTGTTTGACTATTTTCAGTCTTCCGCAGTTTGGTTTCAGCTAAATATCTGGAGTGAAGAATAGTAGTACTATGTTATAGTATGCGGGACCCATTTGGACCATGTAATTAGATTTGGATTCAAATAATACTCACTCTCTCCAAATTTATGTCACACTCTTTGTCATATAATTTTATATTTATAAATAATTTAATTTTAAATTTTTTATAAATATAATAGTTATAATCATATAAATTTGTATATATCTTGTTTTAGATAATAAATATTAAATAACTTTAATTATTTCTTAAATTCTGTATCTAGTCAAACCCTCGTATAAATTGAGACACATGGAGCATATTTTTAGTAAAGATTTTTCTATATTATTAATGAATTTTTAGATATGATAGTAGGTTAATTAACATTTTAATCAGACTACCAGTTAATACTTATCGAAAAATTTATCTGTAATTACTTAATAAATAATCTGATTATTTAAATATATTTTGCACTGCAATGCATCTAACTTAAACTCAATAAATTGAGTAGTGTAAGGCAACCATTTGGGGTATGGGTGCTTATCGGGCGAATCGGGCGGATAATTACGCTTAACGGTTCGGCTTAACGGTTATCGGATTATACATTTAGTAATTCGCTAGCCATCTAATAAGACAACTGGCGGATTGGTATCGGATTAACAATTATCGGGCGGCTTATCGTCTAAACCAAATAGAAATTTTTTGAACAATCATTCAATCAATACCAAACAGTTTCAAATTAATACTAAATTTTTAATACCATCTAAGATCTAACCAAACAGTATTTTTTAATTGAAGAGTCTTCAAGACTACTCATATTACCATACACGTATTAACCAAATTTTTAATACCATCAAGACTACTCATACAGGCATACACGTATTAATTATTGAGATTTCGATTTTTCGACTTCTTAGTTCTCAGTTCAAAAGAGAGACAAGACTGACGACTTCTCTGTCGCTAGTGGCTGTAGACAATTGAGAATTAGAAAATACAAATTAGGGATTTAGCCATTTAGGGTTTTAATAGTACTTTATATACATAGGGGTAAAAGTATAAATATAAAAAAATTTAACGAATTAATGATTTACCCAATAAGAAAATTGAGTAATCAGCCCCCAAATAAGCCGTTAATTATAAAATTGCAATCTGTTTATCATCCATTACCCCGATAATTCGATACCAATAAGCCATCGGTTCGGTTCGGTTAACGATTTCGGTTCGATTTTGAACACTCCTAATTTGGAGCATGTGATTAAATTTTGATTAGCGGAGAAACCCATAATTTGTAAAAGAGAATGTGCGATTTTTATGTTAATTTATTGGGTATTTCATCTTTGGGGAGGTTAAGAATATGCTTTTCCCTTGTTGTCCCTTGTGGTTTGTAATGGAATGATTCAACTGTATAATTGCTGCAGACTTTGTGATTGGAGTTGAATGATTCAGTTTGGGATTAGATTTAATATATTTCTAGTTTATTATATTTAGCTATGATCTTGGTTTTGTATCACACAGAGCATAGGATATGAAAATCTTATTTAAATATTGAATGTAAGCATGGATTGGATTTCCATTGCAATATATGCAGGTTTCGTTTGGAAATTCACCTATTGACTATGTTGCACGAATTTAAAAAGAAAAAAGAAAAAAAAGAAACCGAGTGTGTGTCAAATTCTCTAAAAATAATATGTATTAGATCCTCCAAAAAACTATGCATATTTGGAGAATGTGACTCAAGTACGCCAATATTTTAGAGCGTTCGAACAATATTATCTATTGATGAGTTATATTTAGAATTCACCTCTTTACTGCATACTCTTATTGGATTAACACAAACGCAGTGTAACTTGAAATCTTAAACCTAACAATCTCTTTAAAAGGAAATTAATGTCGCATAGAAATCGTGGTTGTAGCAAGAGATGGCATGTTAAAATGTTAAAGAGTAGGGTTTTCAAACCAAACCGAAAAATCGCACCAAATCGAAAAGTCAAACCAAACCGATTAAAAAATCCGAAAAGGTTTGGTATTGAGTGACATAACCTGAACCAAACCGACATATAAATATATAATTTTTATATATACTTTTAAGGCTCCATATAGAAATTTTTTTTTAAAATGTCTAGATATATTTGGAATTTTCTCATAGGATGTAATATTTAATAGAATTATGAAGTGCATCCATTCTTGTTTACTTTAGATAATGGGTTGTATCATCACTTGCTTATCAAGTGTTATTAAAATGCGTAAATCTTCTTGCTCTTCCATATTCATATGTCAAGATATATTAAATTCTTATATCTTTTTGAATTTGAAATGGTTTTTTGATAATTTAAAATTAAATAGAATATATCATTATGTAGGTATCATATTGATTTTTATGTTGAATTATTAAATTCAATTAACCTTGAAAATGTACATTAACGAAAAATTATTGTTAGACTACTAAGAAAATTACTATCATGTATTACTAAAATAAATTCTCCCATAAGAATATTTTAATAGATCATATATTTGTTAGTATTTTTAATTTTTGCTAAACATATATTCTTTTATCAAAACTTTATCTATAACTTTAACAAAGTAAGATTGAATAATACTTATGTAACGAAAAAATCGAAAACTTCCGAAAAACCCGAAAAATTCGACAACCCTGAACCAATCCAAATCGATATAGCTGGTTTGGTTTGATTTTGATGAAAGTCAAACCAACCTGGTCCATGTACCAGGTGCGGCTCTAAAGGTTTGAGCAGTGAGGTCGTCACCTTAGGCCCCCAAAATTTAAAGGCCCAAAATTTATTTTAAATTCTTAGTCTTATTATTATTATTATTATTATTATTATTATTATTATTATTATTATTATTACCATATATTATATAAATCATATAAATAATTAGTATAAAGAAAAGTGTTACAGTATATTTTTTTTGGTTATTTGAGGTTATTTTATATCAATAAATTCATAAATTATAATAATGTTCTTTACTGATTAATTAGTATATCTGCTTCAGTCTTCAATTTTAATTTTATCCCTTTTATATAGGAATTAAGTTATATATATTGACAACATAATGAATTTCTTTTACAATGTTCTCTCAAACTGTATGAACACAAAAGCATTCATGCACCGTGTAGGCATACAAATTTTATTGAAATTAAATCCATAAAATAATTTGGACTATATTTTAAATGCAATATATATTAGTCCAAACAAATATTATGGGCTAATATAAAGGGATTAATTATATAAGCTTGATCCAATATATATGGATTAAATAAATAATTTCAAAGTGTTGGGCTAGCCTATTTAGTTGAGCTACGAATAATGAGCTCACTTCATTAAGCCCAAAATATCATTTTCCTAGAGGCCCAGTTTGTGCCACGTGTCAAATGACGTTGCACGCCAAGTCAAATGGAAGAGCCAATAAGATCATGCCATGTGTCAAAATGATAAGGCATGCCAAGTCACATTAAAAGGCCAATAAAATCGTGCCACATGTGCAAGCGACATGCTCTGACCAATCAAATGCGGCCTTGTCACTCTTTAATCTGATTGGTCGGAAAGAGTTTGTTCTTATCATAACTCTTCCCTCCCACAACTATAAATAGGAGTTTTCATAACTTAGAAAGACACCAGAAGTTATCACAAGAAGCAAGAAAGAGCTCGTGGATCAAACGCTGTAAATTCCTCCACAAGTTTCAAGCTTCAAGTAATCAAGTTCAAGTTCAACAATCAAGTTCAAGCTCAAGGACGAAAAACAAATCAAGTTCAAGCTCAAGAACGAAGAACAAACCAAGTTCAAGCTCAAATCAAGCTCAAGCTCAAGAACGAATAACAAACCAAGTTTAAGCTCAAATCAATCTCAAGCTCAAAAAACGAAGAATAAATCAAGATTCAAGGAGTACGAGTTCAAATCAAAGTTCGTGCTAGTTGAATCCAAGATCATCGTCCGTGGAAACAAATATAAGTTCAAGATCAAGCCCAAAGGCCCTTGAATTTATATTGAAAAAGTAGAATCAGGAGATTCATAGAGATTGTACACTCAAATTACTTAAAATTGAATACTACGATTGTTGCAATATTTTTCGGTCTCGATTTTATTTTCTCGACGCAAATTTATTCTCTATAAATTTTGGCACGCCCAGTGGGACAATATCTACCTCCCATCTCAACTTTTCAATCGCCAAAGTTTAAGAACATCAAAATGGTTTTAAAGAAAATCAACCCCGGATCAACTTCCACCAAGGCTGCTAACTCCAGGTTCTATGCTGATGTGGAGAGCATCCTCGATGTTACCTTTGGAAGCTTTGGACCAGTTACGAGGAGCAAAGCAAGCTCTTTAGGACAACAAGCACTCCAAGTGTCGTCCGCATCAACCCCTATTTTCGAATCTTCATCCTCAAGAGGAGCAAGATCTTCCACAAACGCACCCGAAGGAGGAAGCGATGTTGCTGAAAATATCAAGAAAACTCTTGCTTTGCTTGACCCCTCCGGATCCAAGAACTCTGATGTGAAGGAAGATGATGATGCTTCAAGTGATGGATCCTCCCCACTTACACCACATAGCGTGAGCCATTCGAGAATCAATCTGTATGATAATTCATGCTACTCCCCATCATCTATAACAAACATGCAAGCCATGGCTTGACCAAGTGCATGCAAAATCAAGATACTAGAATTGGCAAGCTAACAAACAGGGTGGGAATCTTGATGGAAGAAAAATCCACCCATGCACCTGGCAAGCTCCCAGAAGTTCCAGAGATTGATTCTCCCCCAAGACAAGTAGCATTCGCTAAGGCTATCCCTGTCTCATCTGAAGGGATGATTCCAATCGATCAACTGAAGGAGTTCATTGAAGGAACCATTAAGAAAAAGTATGAAGTTGCTGCCAAGTCCTCCCTTACATATGCAAAGCCATACACTGCAAGGGTCGATATGTTGAAGATGCCTGCCGGCTATCAATCTCCAAAGTTTCAACAGTTTGATGGTAAAGGTAATCCAAAGCAATATGTGGCGCACTTCATTGAGA